TCAATATCTACTTACACTTTTCCATCAATCACAAAATAAACCTTCAACCAAACATTATCTCGTGTTGTTGCATAATGACTCCTTTATATCCTGCCTTGTTGTAAACTGTCTTACATGCAATCTGACCTTGTTTTTAGTCCCATGAACAGTTCACTCCGTCTCCTGCCGGCTGCCACTATATTATACTTTTAGTTTATTTTCTGTTGTTAATGTGCTTAAGGAAAAAATATTTCTAATTTTGCTGTAAAAAGAAATAATCTATCACGCTCACATAAAAGTGAATGAATTCTATTATAAATAAAAAGAGATAAAAGATTAGTGAAATTCACTCACTTTTATATGTAAGTGTGACATAAAAAAAAATTCAGCAACAAAAGTACAAATATTAAAACCTAATTGTAATAAGCTAAAATAGTTTTTAATTTAAGGAGGAGTATTCGAGTATCTAAAGGATATTTTATAATATCATATTTATATTTTATAATTATTTAAAATATTTTAAATGATCTTTAAGGATTGATTTCCATATTATTTTATATTTCATAAGTTTCCTTTAATTAAGATAAGAAATTTAGTATTAATATAAATAAAGGTTAGTCCTTATCTTTTATATCATATCATATGAATCTAGTAAGAATTTTGAGGATTCAAAGAATAACAAGGAAAAAACTCATATTAAAAACTTTAACCTTTAATATGCAGCTGTGACGACAGACAACCCAACGACTTAAAAGATTAGGAAAAAAAATATTGAAAAAAATAAAAAAAAAAGTCAGCCAAGGATAACTAAAAATTTCAATATACATCGTTAGCAAAATTAGTTTGAAAGAAAAATAATAAAATGAAAGGAAGTACTCAACATAATAACAAAAAAACAAAAAAAATTATAACTACTTTATAAGGGAGAAAGAAACTGATTGCTTTGATATTAATAGTAATTTGAATTGTTTTATCAATTTGACATTACCAATCAGGTGGTAATGTTTAAATAATATTTTTAATTTTTGAAATTCAATTAAAAATATAATTTAAGTAATTTAAAAATCTTAACGTAGGTTGTTGACTAAATCACATATATATCTAGAGGTATCAAAACGGGTTGACACGACACGAATTTGACACGACACGAATTTTTATTCGTGTCAAAATCTTCAACACTGACACGACACGAATTTTTTGCGGGTTGACATGACACGACACGAATAACATGCAAAATATGGATCAAAATGGTAATTGACAAAAAAAAAATTAAAAAGTGATTCAAAATTTTTTTTTAAAATAAAAAATAAAAAAAATAATTAAATAAAAATACGGGTCAACACGAACACGACACGAATTTTTTACGTGTCATTTTTTCTAACACGAACACAACACGAATTTTTTTACGAGTTAACCAGAACATGAATTTTCGTGTCGTGTCGCAGATCGACCCACGTGTCATAACCTATATTGACACCCCTACGTCAATGGGTTGATTGCATGTTAATGTCCAGCAAAAAGCAACTCACTTAAAAGTGGAAGGTTGTTGGATTTTTGTAATCCTATGTGGACTAGCATAGTCAAGAATTTACTAAAACTTGATAAATATCATTACCGATCTTAATTAGATGAATTATGAAAAGTGTAATAACAATGTCACTTGCACAAAACCTAAAGTCACAAGCATGAGCTGCTAAATTGATTTAAAAACTTATAGTTAACCACTTGTTGAGCTGGTAGAGGATAGTTGATTAACCATTTACCTAAAATATTTAACCAGTCTTATATGCATCACCTTGGTTGCTTTGCATAGAACTAAATCATGAAATAATGGAGGACAAGAAGTTGTGTACGGGACGAATTGCATGTTGTCGTTTCTTTTAATGGTGTTCTTATGTCAATTACAATCATCTGTCTATTCTATGCGATACCATGACTTATTAAGAGCATTTGATGGAAATTACACGTCATGGTATCAATCGGAATGATATTGGACCAATGATGATCGAGTTATAAGGATGGTATTGATTTTGGCATGACTCCTGCTCGTTCACCAATATCTAGAACTCCATATCATGAAAGCTTCGTGTCTACAGGTTATTTGTTGAGCACAAATCTATGATTATGTCCTACTATTGATGCACAATTTTCACCTTATGTTGCTGGGATGACTTTTTCTCCTACTTCATTTCCTGATATAGTTCTTCCTTGTTGATTATAGCTACACACCTTCTTGAAATCTCTATGCCTTTTGCCCTTTTAAAGCCTACCTATACATATACTCCTAAAAAAGAAGTACCATCACCAAGCATCTTGTCAATTGTCTACATCTCTTTCGTAAAAGATACATGTAAAATTAATTACTTAGGACAATTTCATCATTCTAATCCAATGGGTACTATATATGTTGGTAATTGCATATCACTCATCTTGTCTTTGTTGTTGCTTTCATCAATTTTTTTAATTGCATATCATATTATGTTAGGGATCGACACTAGCGTATAATAAAACACATCTAATTATATTTCAACATTTGTGATGAAATTGTTTTCCGTCGCCAATTATATGTATAAATCTGACGCAAAGTTTGCGACCAATTCTCCGCAGTGACAAATTCCATTGCATTTACCCGTCGCAAATATTCCTTTATTGTGACGGACTTGCGATGGAAATACGACAAACTTTGTTCACCGATTTTTAGCAACAAAGATTTGGACATATTTTCGTCGCAATTGTTTACCGATCGCAAATTCCGTCGCAAGTTGCAACAACATTTTTGCCGTCGCAAATGCCCGTCGCTATTTCAGCATTTTCTAGTAATGTGAGATGTTTTAGGCAGATAATGAGAAGACTCATGGATTCTCCCATAAGAACAAAAGTTTGCTACCAAGAGCTTGATACAAAAAGAGAAATAGATAGACCGAAATTTACTTAAGGGAAGGTAGTAAAATAAGCTTCATTAAGTGAGATATAGATTAGCGGACTAAATGTCTTAGAACGGATTGGTTTAAGAAGCTATTATCATGGTGAAGGGTTAAACCTATTTTTCTTCCTATATTCCAGACGGCCACTTTTTAGTTTTTTTCCTCTTTATCTCCTTCACTTTCTTTCTTTACTTTACTTTCCTTTTATTTCTTTTTTCCTTTCAACATTTTTCTCTTATTTATTTATTTATGTTTTTTTTCTTTATTTTACTCTTTCCCTCTATTTTATTTTTATTTTTACTTTTTAATTCTTTTTAGTCCTATTATATATCTTTATTTTTATTTTATTTTTACTTTTAATTGTTTACTACTATTTTTTTATGGATAATGTTACATATATATATATATATATTTAAAATTTATTTTATCAATCTTTTAGTATTTTTCATTGGATTCATCCACCATCGGCCCCAAGTGTTATACATATAGGGCTTGATATTGCTCATGTTGTAATAGATAAATTATCTACTACACATGCATAAAAGTAAATGAGACATATGTGGAGCCATGTGAAGAGAAGAAAAAGAAGAAAAAAATGAATCTCTCATACTTTTATATTTGCGTAAAAGATAAAATTATCTCATTAAACCTTTTTAAATTTATTGTAAGTAACAGTATTGTGAGTAAAAGTAGATGCCCTCAATGTTGTCAAAATCGAGTTTCTACGTAGAAATGAAAGGGAATGGTAGAAACATAAATTATAGAAACCACACGAAACATAAAGTTTCTACTATTTAAGGCTAAGATACAAAATCATATATATGTGTGTGTGTGTGCGCGCACGCGCATGTGCATATAAAAAAAATATTATATAAGTCACTACTCAAAATTCAATAAACAACTTCATACTAAAAGATATAAATCACATAATTATATAAGACATAAGTCCAAAAACACAAAGAGTTTAACAACTACTATAACCAAGTTCCAAAGCATCAAAAGAATAGAGTTTAACAATTCCTAAATGGAAATACATCGGCCTCCTTCAAAGTTTTTTTTCCCCAGATAGCTAGAAGAAGATAATGTGCATTTGATTTTCGAGAATAAAAATAGGATTTTTTTTTGAAAAAATAAAAATAAAATCAGATTATTGGTTAAATGTTAACCCGATTCAATTTTTGGTTTAAATAAAAATATAAAAACTTGTGTTTCTACTGTTTTATATTTTTTCCACAAAATTTTTATCAATTTTTATCGGAGAGAATTTTACTTACATTTTAACATGTATTACTTCAATAAAAATATAATTTTTTATATTTTTACATTAATTTTTGACAATAATAAATGCACTGACTACCAGAAGAAGAAGGTAAAAAGATGCGCTGACAGAATATAAATATAATTTGAGTAAAAAAAGAATATCTCTATCAATTCATAATCTTTTCTGTAGCATAATAGACATACTGAATAAAAGTTATACTTTAATGTATCTGACGTATAATAGACGCATATGGCGGAGCATCTTGTCAATTGTCATGTTAATGTTTGGTGCTATAAATATCTGTTAGTGCAATTTTTTTAATATACTCCAGCAGTATAGTATTATTTGGTAGTCCTTTACTAAAAAAAGAATTTTTTTATTTATTTATATCCCTTTCTTTTTTTTTAAATCCCCTCCAAATCCTTTATTTTTACTATTTTTGGAAAAGGTGCATGAGCACCGGGCCCATATAATAAACGAGCTCCTGTTAGTGACATGGAACATATTGTCGATACTGCCGCAGTCCACATCAAGATGCATCTTGTTTTTATAGTCCACAACTTGCAAGAGAGGTAGTATTAATTAGACTCCCCAACTCGAACACTATCTAAATAATTCTATTACATTTATATTTCATTTTTAATTTATGCAAAATCACATCAAAACTGTTTCACACAAATCCAAATACAATCCAATATATGGAGTAACATCATTTTAATTTGTTATAAGTTGTTCTATCAAACATACATTTTTTACACCTATTTTCAATTTCAAAAACTCACATTATTAGAAATAAAGATTGCTATATCATTATATTGAACAAGATACAAGCTTTTATTTTACCTTCTTTTATTCAACAAACCTATTTACATATCCATAAGGTCATTTCCATCTACAACGAAGGCTATTACAACAGATAAGAAGCGAACTACCCAAAGGTGAGGTCTGGTCTGTCTTATTCAGCAGTACCTGTTCAAGTTATGGAACTCTACGATTTCAACGCACATAGCATTACCAAGCTCTTCCGTATATCTTGATCAGATACAACCACTTGATTCCTACTTTCTTCCAACTAAATCAGTTTAACATTCATTGCCTTTTGACATCAAACTCTTCCGTCTTTGCAAATCTTCCACGTATTCTTGGTTGACTGTCAGCAAGAGCCTTCCTGCAAGCATACTGAAACAATATCTTCAAAATCAGATCATAGGCTGAAAATAAAATCAGTGAAACTATGCAGCATTAAAATAATTAAGTTTGATGCATATTTAAAAACAAAAACAAAAAAAGAGAGGCAAAACCCGGGTACATAAGGCTCCTCTATTTACAAGAATAGGGATGAGGGTACCCTTGTATTTTTACAAAGAAGCCAGACTGAGAACCCGCGACCTTCCGGTTATAAGGAATGCCCTCAAGGAGAGCACTTTCAATACGACAAGGGTCCTGACCCTTGGGTACAATGGGAGATTTTACACTATGTACTTGTAAAGCACTAAAGTTGTTTTTTTTTTCTCTCTTCAGAAAAATATCAAGCTGATGTGGCGCACTCTCATTGGTTCATTGTACTTAGGAACGGAAGCACTAAAATTTTTTTTGCCCTCGAGGGCTAATGACAAGTTCAAAAGTTGAAGTACTGATTGTTTATAAAAGACACTACACTATTCATCCATGAAATATATCAAACTTAAATTTCTGATTTTGTTATATTCTCTACTAGTATACAAGGACAGCAAAACAACAATTACCTTGATTTTCCTCCCAAAATTTCTCTTTGTCTTCTTATTCCTATATCTTGAGAGCTTTTCTCGACGTTCCTCGCTAGTGCAGTTGCTGAGAAGAGAATTCCTCTCAAGGGGAGATTGGCCAACATTCATGTTACCACTACCAAGAGTCTGTCAGAAAAATACTGTCAATCATTCATCCCATCAAGTGGAAATGGCAGAAAACTACAGAGTTCTCAATCCATATAGAAAAGACTGCCAAATTTATTAGTTATAAGTTAGCAATCAGATTAAGGTCATGCCAACATTCCTTTTTGGTCATACTGCTTAAGTCATGTGTTAACAGAAGATTAATTGATACACATGAAAATTTCCTTCTTGATTGGGTCCTTGCAAGTTATAAAAAGCACACAGAAAATTTGAATCAGTTAATTTTGACCTTTATATCTCCTTCGCTAAATGCTCTCCGCATGCCATTAACTGCATTGAAATCTATTCCAGGGAAATCAAGGAAAGCAGGTTTCATTGCAGCTCCATACATCCAGTCCATTGAACTCAAACTTCCAGAACTGACACTCTTCGGTAGCGGCACATCAGCAAGTGGTTTGTTTTCTTGAACTAAAATTTCATCTATGTTCAGAGTAGGAATCTTGATTTCCAGAATATCAGAGAGTGGTGACTCTAACGCTACCTTTTCTAAGAGATCCTTTTTGCACTCATAGAATACATCACTCAGAAGCTGTTCATTTTGAAGTACATCAATATCTGAGGATTTTAGACCCTGTGAGGATACGTCTTCCCCACAAGATATCATTGACATGGCTGCTTGCATGGGATCGAGATCCACTGATGGTTCTTGAATGATAGGTTCAGGTGCTTTGAACAAATCTCCCTCTACTAACAAATCAAATTCTGACATTGCAGAAGATTGAACAAGGTCAATCTGCATTGAAGACAGAGGAAAAAAGTAATTAGCAAAGATAAAATAATACAATGGAAAACTAGAACATAATCAGTAATATAGAACACATCAGATGTTGAATAACTAAGGGAAAAAGAAGTATCATTTTGAATGACACAAGCTTGTGTCATTTCAGGTGTTTTACACAAAGTAAGACCGGTCGTACTTTGTGTAAAACTGAAAAGTTGCTTTTTTTTTTCTCTTTTCTCAGTCACATCGCTGACGTGTAAAGTGAAAAAAAGTAACTTTTCAGAACTACACAGAGTACGACCGGTCGTACTCTGTGTAAATCACTAAAATGACACAACTTGTGTCCTTTTAAATAACACACACTAAACCCAATAACTAATCATCAATAGACACTTATCATAACATCAGTAAACATTTTATCTGATGTTAAATATTAGTATTGTATATATAACGACAGTAGTAATAACCACTAAAGGAATGGCAAATTCCAGATGCAGCGTGGGTTACCATGATTTACTACTCCCCCTGTCCCCCCTCCCAAAAAAAAAAAAAAAAGAGAGCAAATAATTGGTGTTTAATTACATAAAAAACCTCCAGCCTCCAGTGCCTTTAAAGTTTAGTAATATATTGCCCAATAACCAAATATTTTGGTAATTTGTTTACTTACTAATGATAAGAAGTTTCCCTAGCATGTGATACCTGAGACCAATGATGCCAAAAGATTTCATGATAAAATTTGCTTGATTCCATCAAGTAAAGTGGTTCTCAAAGACACTGTCCAAATTAAGAATTTCTTAGAATGGGTCAGTGGATATTTAAGTCATCACCATCCGATCAAAACATGGTTTATAGAAAAGATTTAGAACAATAGAGGTTGTTCCTCAACGTTTTAGAAAGTGAGAAAACTAGAAACAAAACGCAAGAAAGAGAGAGAGAGATTTTATCTGAGGTGACAGAAAAGCTACTTGTCAGAAAAAGACTTAAGCAAGGGCCTCAGAGTTTCAAGTACAAAGTAAGAATTATGTAACATTCTCTGGTTTGGTAAATGGACTAGAGTGTTATTATCAGGTATCATATTATACAGTAGGTTTAATGATAAAAGCTAAAAAAGACAAGGATTTTCTAGATTTCTATTTCACGTCAAAGTGAATACCATATACAATAGCAAAACACCACATTCATAGAACATAGCAGAAGCCTTGCGTAAATGAAAGGTGCCAATACATATTCAGCTGAACCTTCACATTGAAAGGAAGAGCTGGGTAGAGTCATGTTATTTGAATTGGTATTAGGTACATGATTGCAAATTCAAAGCCCATGCTTCACCCGAAAAGCTGACTTTGAAAGAGTCCAGGTGCTGATTGCTGAAACATTGATACTGGCATCACACAGTCAGTCTAGAATGAACTTCACTATAACTCAGCTGGAGAATATGGATCAAAATCTTCTTTTTTATGAATAGCCAAAATATTGGAATTTTTGTACAACATAATGGAACTGTTTAAGGAAATCCTTGAAGGAAAAAGTGAAGAACATCAACATCAACATCAAAAATACCTTTATCCCAAACTAGTTGGAATCAGTGTAGATGAACTCAAAAGAAAAGTACGAAAAGATAATAGTTTCAAAATATCTTAAGCTCATGCCTCATAATAGTTTCAAATTTCAATGACCGAAAGACCAAGCCGCCCCATTTGGAAACAACCCACTTTTATGGTTTATTGTTGGAGAACAAAAATAGAAGCAAAATAGCATGATTACCTCTCTCCAACTATGTATTTATTGATAGACAAAACCAAGAAGAAATTATTAAGTTGAGCATTAACTAGTCCCTTTCTTCTAACCTTTTCCTTACTACAAAGAAAAGGAGAATAAAATGACTTTTTCCTCTTCAATCAACCTCCCTCAGTGCGGCTCAAAAGACAAACCCCACTAAGAGTTCACACCAGAAATTAATAAAGAAATGAAAGAAAGATTACAGAACACGGAAGTATCACAGGAAAACACTTCCCATCTATACTACTTTTCTTTCCTTTTGTAACACTTTTCCAGATCCAGCACTTAGAGCCAACTCTAGCTGTTTCCACTTATGCTATGAGTATGATTATGATTTATGAGAAAACATTCTGAATGGAAGGCGGAATAAACCAAATGAATAAAATATATATAAAAAATAAAAATAAAATCGTCTGGTCATTAATTTTCCTTCTCAGGCTTGATATTATCAATCAAGTAACTCTATATATATGTGTTCATTAAAAAAGACACTTTCCAAATTTGGAAAGTAATAAATGAAAAATTAAATGCAAATTTAACATAATTCTAAGGGTAAGAGGAAAAAATTTCCATTTTATTTTGCCAATTTGCTTAGGGAGCATTCATAATACAGATGAAAGAGCAGAACACATAAAAGAAAAGAAAAATTTGAAATTTATTCCACATGAGGAAAAACCCATCAAGCAAATGCAGATCAACCAAGCACGGATAGAGGAAGAAGCTGAGCAAAAAAAAAAGGGGGGGGGGGGGGGGGGGGGGGGTAACAAAAGAGAGAGGAAAGAGTAACAGAGAAATATAGAGGGTACCATTGAAGCATTGGACTTTTGGATCATGCAGTACTCATCAAGTTGTTGAATCTCCTGAGAGAAATTCTGCAAATATGGGAAGAAAAGACCAGTCTCTGCAAACATTTTTCCAGCACAGAAACACCCTCTTGAAAAATCAAAACTTCAATGACATACATAAAACACTTCACCCAAGGAAACAGAGTAAAAAACAGAACAAGACAAAGCACACTTGCACTGGAACAAACAGAAGCAAAACAAAAAGAGAGAGAATTGTTGGGAAGGGGTTCGAGTTATGGGCTTTGATGATTCTAAGACCATCAAGAAAGAAGAATTTATATAAATTTGAGGAAAAGTGATAAAAGAAAATACTTAATAAAGACAAAAGTAGGAAAAGGACACCATCATTTTTATAATGCAGTGACCCCATGTCTCTTGTCATACTCAATAAAGAAAAAGAAAAGTTTATTTTAATAAAAGATAAATTTTTCAAGAGTATTATATTTGCAAATTGTAGCACAGAATAGAGATGAATTGCACCGAGCCAATGAGTATGGACCGTGGACAAGTTGGTGGGGTTGTGGCTTGGATGTGAACAGTGATCATCACCTTTCAGTCAACAGTCATCACTGGCCAATGAGTGCAGACATTGGACCACTATAGCCCTAGATTCATTTCTGTCCATCCCCACGCGCTGAGAATGAGATGATGATGATGCTTTTTCAAATAAACCCATCATCAATTTTTGTTTATATTAGTTTTCTCAAGGCATTATTTTTTATTTTTTTTAATATACTTATCCTAATTGTTATTTTTAGGCTAGCCGAGTCGGTGGTCACTAAATATCTTTACAAGTTTTAATTCTCTTGAGCTATTTATGAGAGGGAAAAATAAATCTTATGCTATAGAAAAATGTTAAACTCATATTATAGATATATCAAGTGTGGAATTCACTTATTTAAAAAATAAAAAATTAAGTAGCACAACTTTTTATGATGTGTGTAGAAATGATTTGTTTTCTCGTGCAACATGAGAAAAACAAACCCTTTATGAAATTAATTTTGAATCGTGACTTATATCAGTTATAAATTTTCGTCCCATCATAAAAATATATGAGTTCAGTTTTTCTGCCACAACGACCAGAAAGGAAACATTTGTTGCAGAAATAAAAAAACTAATCGAATCCGACATTATATCCTGATAAATATATGTCTATGACAGATCAATTATTTCTGGCAGAAATAATTTTGTCAAAATATATCTAGTACCATTTATATAGGTTGTTAGGGTGTTCACATAGGACTTTCAGAAATGGAGGATTTTTTTACCATATTAGAATGGTACATATTTATTTATTTATTTTAAAAAAAATTCTCATGAGAAAATAAGTTGTAAATGTGAAAAACAATTCATTTAAGGTACTTTTAGAAGATGAATTCAATTTCTACTTATAAGTCAGATATGTTATGTAAGACTAACTACATTAAAGATAATTTTAAATATTGTTTTTATAAATAAGTCATAATCAAATAAAATTTCAATAATCACATTTCTAATGTATCACTGCTATTTTTTTTTAAAAGTCATATTTTTAAAATACCACTTACTTTTTTTTTAAAAAAAGTACAAAATAGTATTACCAAGAAAAAAAAAATACAACATAGTAAGTAGTATTTCCTATGTACAACTTACTACTTTTTTATTTTATAAAAAAATACAACATCAACATCTTGTCCTTGAATCACTATGCATAAATCGTATGATGACCGAAACTCAGGAATTTAATATATCAGGTTTTAATTATCATTATTTAAATCACAAGCATGCAATCCTGTTTGTTGCTAAGTACCAGAATCGCCTGTATATTCTATAGGAACACGACCATTCGAATTATTTATGGGAGTTACTCGCAAGTTTGATGCAAGCACTTCTGGAGTTTTGGGTAAATATCATTTACTGAAGCACCTATATATATTAAAATTTTTAAAAGTAAGTCGTATTTGAGAAATGATTTATTGTTAAAAAATATAATAGAAAATAGTAAGTTGTATTCTTATATACGACATATTATTTTTATTTTGTTTAAAAAATAAATTGTACTTGAGAACCTAATTTTGACAAAAATAAAAATAAAAGATATTATTAGTATATAGGAAATACTACTTATGTAAGTCGTATTTTTTATACGAAAATATTTTTAAATATAATAACGTAAAATATATTACAAAAATTATATTTGTAGTCGGTACGATAAAAAACGTGAACTCGTGTTTTGAAAGTATTACTTATTAAAACGATTAATGTTTTTTTATTTATGACTAACTCTATTCTGATAATTTGTTAAAAGTAATATAATTTTGGTAAATACAAAAATAAACCACACCAGTTGAATAAAAAATTCAAGAATGGAAGAGAAAGATCGGGAGTGAGAAAGGCGACCACCGCACCGAACCGCACCGCTAATCAGGCTCACAGAGTCTCGTTAATATACTCTGGTTACAAGCTAGATACACCGACACCAATACAGGACACGGGATACGACATGACACGCCGACACGTTAATTTTAAAAAATATCATATTTCGACACGTTGAGACACGTTTTGATATTAAATAAAAATTTTAAAATATATAATATTATTTAAATTTAATACATATAAGAATCCATAATAAGTCATATAACCAATCAAATATTTAAATTTTATACCATAAATATAAATATAAATAATTTTTCGTACTTTGTTAATTTTTTATGTCAAATTTCATAATAAAAAAAATTAATTTCTAATTTTTTTTTATATTTAGTTAATAAAAAAAATTAAGATTAAAAAAAACGTGTCCGAACGTTGACCGCGTGACGAAAAAGTTGACCGCATGTCGAAAAAATGTGTCAAAACGTGTCAGAGAATTGACCGTATGTCCCCAAATATTGACCGCGTGTCGGAACGTGTCCGTGTCGGACACGTGTCCGACACGCAAAATTTGAAAATTTTAGCATGTCCGTGCTTGCTTGGTTACATGAAGGACATTTGGATACTATTTTTTATGATTAAAAACTTAATTGTTAATATATTTTATAAAGTGATATAATACTAATATATATATATATATATATATATATTATAAACTTATACCTAAGTTTGACATTCACTATTAATAATTTATGCCATTTATATTTAATTATTTTAATTTATTAATTATATGAGCAATTAGATATAAATTAAACAACGAATTAAGATGGAGAGCAATACTTATTATCTTAACAAGTCATTTAATTTTATTTTTTATTTTTATTTTATTTTTTAACATTTAATGGTTTAGAATTATTCCTCTCACAATTCTAACAATAAATTATTGCATCAAGAGCTTACCACAAGATCAAAAGTTATAATTATTCAGGGAGCAATTTTTTTAACTTACTCTTATGTAGCAATTGATATTCACCATTATTCCCTTATCCTAAGTGTTTGTTATTAAATTAGTATATCCTTTTCTTAGTTGTTCAAATTATCTTATTAATAGTTATCTCATGATTGTTATTAGTTTTTAATTCAAAATAGGATTTTCTAATTTTTGTTTAAGGTGTAATTCTATAAATTAACATTTAAAAAAATAATAGAATAATTTAAGTATCTCTTATAATGTCTCAATATCCTTTCCTCAATTCTCTCCGTTAATCTCTCTCTAAAGTCCTCTTTATTTTTCTAATTCAATTCCTTACATCTTACCAGCTCAAGTACCATAATTTGAATTGATCCACAACTTGTCAATTTATTACCTTGGCTCTAATACCAAGTGTTGAATCATGCGCTTGCCATTAGGGCAAAAGCAATAATTATTAGTTAGGATGTATTATTTTCTTTTTATACTTACCAACTCAAGTATCATAGTTCGATTTGACTTTGACCCACATCGAGCTTTACCAAAGCAGGATGTTGATGTTATCGATATAAATCACTTTTTAAAAATTATATATATAGAGTAAGGTTATATTTACAACCATTTTGGCTTACCACTCTTACTACTTGTTTGGTTACCGTTTGATCGATTTAAAATCAATGGCACTTAGTTTTTCCTTTTTTTCAACAGTTGATTTCAAATTGATCCAACGGTAACCAAACAAGTAATAAGAGTGATAAGTCTAAAATGATAGTTGATGAATCAAAGTGATGATGTGGATGCAACGTACACTTGATGATTCCACGTCAACATAGTTTTGATGATAACAAATAGAAATGATCAAGAACGAAGCAACATCCAAAAAGAAACTCAAGCAAATGTGAAAGCAATGCAAGCATCAATCCAAGTCCAAAATCTCAAATGGTATATTTATTTAGGACTTAGGAAAAATGTGTAAAGATGTATAGATACTAAGCATTGCATGAGCTCAAGGTCATTCATCACTCATATATTTCAAATGCATGCATCCTTAAAGAAGTGTCAAAACAAAAGGTTTGATTTATCCAAAATTGATTTGAAAAAGGTACCTACATGATTTAAACGGTTCAAGACAGCTTCCATAATCAAATTCATGAATTACAAGTCATAGAAACCTTTTTAAAAGTAAAGAAACTCAGAATTCGAGCAAAAAGGATGTTGCCACTGAAATATCCAGATATGAGCCCGATAAATATCCGGATATGTACGGATTACAACAGCTATAAAACGGCTAGAAACGGCTAGTTTTCAAAGAAGTGACACTATAAATACCCACACCAGTCATGATGAACAGTACACGACCCTAAATCATTTATTGAATATTTATTACTCATTCTAGCTCATTAATTGCTTACTTTACTCATTGCATACACTTGAGCTCATCTTTCCTTTGAAGCTATACATCTCTTAGTTCTTCAATTTGTGCAATCTATACTTTGAGAGTACTTAGTCCCTTTTAATCACCTCAATCCTACTTCTCGATTTGAGAGGGGAGTGAACCCTATACTTGAGAGGTCACCAAATTCCTAAGTAAATTTGGAGTGAAAAATTGTGAGGCATCAAGAGCCCGAAGTCTTGAAAGGTTATAGAGGTTTGTCAAGCACCCTCAAGCTTGATAGTTAGTGAAAAGAATTGATCGAGCGGCTTCAGTCTGGACGTAGGTCACGGTGGTGGGGACCGAACCAGGATACATCTAGTTTGCAATTTCTCTAACATTTACCTCTTTACTTTATTATTGAAATTGCATCTTTAGATTGTCTTTATCCATTCACTTGCTTACTTTATTAATCTCTACACTTAGATTTTTCCTCATTAAATCACTTTATTGAAGAAATAGTCTATAAAATATCAAAGGA